ATATCCTGGAGATTAATGCTCTATCTGAGGTGCAGGTGGCAAAGATTTTCTCCCATTCTGGAGGCTCTCTCTTCAAGTTCTTGATTGTTTCCTTTGCTGTGAAGAAACTTTTTACTTTGATACCATCCCATTTATTGATTTTTGATTTTACTTCTTGCACTTCAGGAGTCTTGTTGAGGAAGTGGTTTCCTAAGCCAACAAGGTGGAGAGTTGGGCCTGCATTTTCTTCTAGTAAGTGCAGCGTCTCTAGTCTCATGCCTAGGTTCTTGATCCCCTGTGAGTTGGATTTTGTGCAGGGTGAGACATAGGGGTTCAATTTCRTTCTGCTATATATGGATTTCCAGTTTTCTCAGCACCATTTGTTGAAGGGACTGTCTTTTCTTCTAAGGTTGTTTCCTCTCCCATTCCCCTTTTTACAGCCCCCTCCCACTTCTTGGGACATCTGGAGAAAGCCATGACTTGTCGCTGTGGCTGGGGTTCGTTCCTGAGGGAGCAGTGGCATTTCTGCCTTCCCATGGTGCCAATAACACTGAAGGAAACAGCTTCCCAACCCAGACCCTGGTGTGCTCTCTCTCTCTCTCTCTCTCTCTCTCTCTCTCTCTCACACACACACACACAACGGCTAGAGTTGAAAAATATTCTCCACACAGGACATTTATACTTATTTTTTAAAAATATTTATTTTTTAGTTATAGGTGGACACAATATCTTTATTTTACATTTATGTAGTGCTGAGGATCAAACCCAGCATCCCTAGCCTCATGCGTGCTAGGTGAGCACTCTACCACTGAGCCACAACCCCAGCCCCATACTTAATTTTTTTAAAAAAAGGGATCATGTCAACCTCAAGTATTTGAGTATATCATATTTTAAWAACATCACTGACAAACTCAGTATCCAAAGTGTCTTCCAGAATCATGTGCCATTTACACAATCACCAGAGTGAAGTTTCCTGTAAGGACTGTCCCTGCTGGGCCAGGCCAGGACGTTGAAAGGGGGTTATGATGGCTGTCCCCAAATCCTTTGAAAAGCTTTGACTAAAGAATGTTAGACTTACTCTGGGTAGTTTCAGAGGACAAAACCAGTATCAATGAAAGGAAGTAAAGGAAAGGCAGTCTCTACCCAGGGGAAGAGAGAGTTCCCAAATAGGGAAGTCCAAAATGATACTGACTTCCTTGTTAGGGCCAGTGCTTCTCCCTACTGACTTACATTTTGTCTAAGACATAAAGATTTCCCACGGCCGTATTGATTTCATGTGATTATTTGAATTAAAGATGATTTATTAAATTTATGACAAAATATAATTTGAGTCTGTGTCCCTGTTTAACATATCATCCCAGAAGATTGTCTTAGATTAAGCAGGCTGATTTTTAGTTTACAAACATGAGGGATTCCTATATTTAGGTGGGGACTTAGATTCAAAGGAGGCCCAGTCCTCAAATCCTATGTCAAATAGGATGCGGTTAGTGATTGAGCATGAGGAGATGCCCAGGAATCAATCTCACTGGCTCTGCCCTTGAGTGGTGTCAGTATTAGTTTAACAGAGAGTGGCCCAAGGTTCAAAACCCATTAAAATAACTGGAAGGGTGGGGGATTGGGAACTAGCTACTCAGTTCATATGTTGAACTCCTGCTGTGTATTTCAGCAACAAAACATATTTGCAACATTGTCACAAAGTACTGATTTTCTAAATGTAAAAGAGCTCCTACAAATCAATAAGAAAAAAAAGACTCAAATTGAAAGTGGACAAAATAAATGAATAGACAGCACATGATCACTTCTTGGCCTTTTGGCTAAGATCAAGGGTAGACAGCACATGAAACAGGACATGCTACCTCTTATACATTTGAAAAAAAATGCCCAGATTCACATAAGAAACTCATTTTAAATGACAGTAAAAACCACCCCATGCCCATTGGTATTGCTGCTATTGAAAAAAATTTTAAAAGTATGTTGGCAAAGATGTGGACAAAATATAACTCTGTGCACTATTGATGGGAATGTGAAATGGTGTGACTGCTGTGGAAAACTATTCATTGGGTCCTCAGAAACTTAAAAATAATATTTCCATATGATCATTAATTCTACTTGTGGGTTTTTACCTAAAAGAAGTGAAAGAAGGGTCTGGAAGAGATATCTGTACACCCACATTCAGAGCAGCTGTTATTCACAACAGCCGAAAGGTGGAATCAACTCAAGTGACCATCAGCAGATGAATGTAGTGTAGCATACATGGACTAGAATTTAGTCTTAAAAAATAAGGAAATTCTGACATGTGCTACAACAGGATGGACCTTGAAGACAATATACCAAGTGAACGAAGCCAGTCGCAAAAAGACAGAGACTGTATGATCCCATTAACACCTAATATAGTCAAATTCATTGAGATAGAAGATGGAAGGGTGGTTTCCAGGGCCCGGGAGAAGGGGAGAATAGAGAGTCATTGAACAGAGTTACAGAGTTGTAACTATACATTTTACATTGGTACAGAGTTAAAGTTCTGCAAAATTAAAAGACTTCTAGAGATGGATGTGATGGTTGCACAGTAATATGAATCTATTTAATGCCAATGTATATTTGAAAATTTTTAAGACAGTAAATTTTGTGTTATGTGTATTTTACCACAATAACAATAATTTTAAAAATCGTAACGAGATGCCATTTTAACCTTTCCTAATGGCAAAGATCACAAATTAGAAAACACAATATTGACCCAAAGAGTGTGAAAATAAGCACTCTTGTGTTTTGTTGATGGAAACATTAACATGCAATCTTAAGATAGGACAAATTTTCAATATGTGTAAAAACTAAAATTGCATTACTCTTCAACAAGTCAAGCAAGTCTACTGCAAAGAATATAGCACTCTCCTGCAAGTGCAATGTGGCTTATAATTGCAACAAAGGTTTGGAAACGATCTAAATGTTCCTTAGTGGGGGCTGGCAAAAAAAGTATTGCCCTCTAATAGCATATGGTAGAATAATATGCAACATTAATGTGAGAATACTCATTACATACTGACACAGAACAATCTCCAGATGGTAAGTGTGCAAAATTATGTATAGAATGCTACCCTTGGGTAAAGAATAGTTATGTATCTTCTAAGTTACAGTTTGTTTTGTATGAACAAATCTGTGAATTAATGGAAAGTCCTGTGGATTAATTCACCAGTTAGGTTTTTCTTTTCACCTTGACTGTTAAAAAGTTACAAGCCAGCTAGGTGTGGTGACACATGCCTATAATCCAGCAACCCAGGAGGATGAGATAGAGGATCACAAGTTCCAGGCCACCATGGTATCTTAGTGAGACCCTGTCTCAAAATTTAAAAAATGAAAGAGGTCTGGGGATGTCTCTCAGTGGTAGAGCACCTCTGGGTTTGCTACACTGGGTTTCCCAGTATAGCAAACAAACAAACAAAAAAAAAAAAAACCCAAAAAACAAAAAACTTAACTTTGAAAAAAGCTAAAAGCAAACTTATACCCCACCAATGCATGTTGGCAGATTCCTATGGTAAGCGTTTAGCATTGGCTTTGTCCCAAGTTCCATTTTATATTCCCATATTTGGCTTTGTATTAGCCAGCCTTGTGTCATGGTGACCAAAATACCTGACAAAAAACAACTTAGATAAAGAAGAGTTTATTTGGGCTCATGATTTCAAAGATCTCAGTCCATGACTGGTTGACTCCATTGCTCTGGGCCTAAAATGATGATGGAACTTGATGGCAGAGGGTGTGGCACAGAAAAGTTTCTCATGGTACCCAGGAGGCAGAGAGAGAATGCAAAGAGCCAGGGACAAAATATATCATCCCCAAAGCATATCCCCAGTGACCTGCTTCCTCCAGCCATGCCCCACTTGCCTACAATTACCCCCTCCCCAGCAATCCAGCCAAACTATTAACCCACTGCTTAGATTACAGATCTCATAATCTAATTGTTTTACCTCAAACGTTCCTGGATTAACACATGAGCTTTGCAGGAGGACACCTCATATCCAAACCATAACAGGCTTACTTTTCAACTTATTTCCAATGTTGGTTCTTTCTTTTTTCTTTGCTTTCTGTGTAATCCACTTTACGCCCATTTTGGTATAAATGGGGTAAGTGGGTCTGTGATGAAGGAGGGAGAAAGGGAAAGAGATTGTGAATCCATGCATGTCGTTTTCTTTGGCTCCATCATGTAGATTGAGTAAATGTTCTATTGCTGTGTTTCTCAGAGCATGGTCCTTGGACAACAGCATCCATCACCTGTGAGATTGTTAGACATAAGCATTCACGGGGTTCACCTCTACCTACTAAATCAAACTCTTTATGATAAAGTCTTAGAAACTGTTTTACATGCTCTCTGGCTGATTTTGATGCACATTAAAAGTGAAAAACACAAGGAAACAAAAGAAAGATTGATTTTTAAATGTAACTACCCTCCCGAGACCCATTAGACCTGCTGTGTTGTTCAAAAGAAGTGATGCTAGCTACTGTTATAAATAATCCCCCAATTTTATTACCCAACATAGTAAGTTTCCTTATTTTATTTTATTTTTTCCAATGTCACAGTCCAGTTTGGATCAGTTCTGGGGGAAGTGTGGAGAGAACAGTTTTATTAATTTGTTCAGCTAAACAGTTCTCCTCCATAGTAGAATTTGCCATTTTCTAGGACCTTGAATGTTTCCTCTGAATTCCCTGCATCTAAGAAGCAGGAGAGAGAGAGAGCAGGAAGGAGGCTTTGATAGCCATGTCTGTAAGTAACGTTCATTTCTTTCTGTTCACAATTTCATTGGTTGGAACCCAGTCATGTGGCTAACATCAGGAGAGGCCAGGAAATATGGCCTATCTGTGGAACTAAGAGGAAAAGGAAATAGCTTTGGTGAGCACATAATCTTGTCTCTGCCACACCCAGGAACCCAAGTGAATCCCAGACTCCACTTCTAGGTCTTGTTTTGGTGAACATTGGTTTCAGTTTCTAACCAAGTTTTATCTTTTCTTTTTCAACCCTAGCATCATGGGACTGAGAATCACTCTGTTTGTGATGGCCTTCCTGCTTTCTGGTAAGAACCTTTTTACTGTGTGAAGTCCTAGAATCTTTCCACTATCTCCCAATGCATCTGACCACTGCAAGTCCAGGCCTGACACTTGGTGGGTCTTGTACCATGTACCAGGAGACTTTCCTGGAGGAGAAGGAAGTGTCATGACTGAGCCCGTAGCTCAGATAACAGCAGACAGGCCTGGCCTGGGATGGAACCCTCCTCAAGCATGCATCTTCTTCCATTTCACCCTCAGGGGCCTGGATGCACAGAATAAGATGGACTGGGCTATACAGTAGCACCTGGCATTGCACTGAGGCCCGGTCACTTGACTTCTGCTCACACCTAATCCTTCTGGTCTTCTCTGTCTCCATTTATGGTACTCTTGGGTTCCTAGGAAATACCTGATGGACTTCCAAAAAGCCTCCTTCTGTTACACAGCATTGTGTTCCATGTCCCCTGCYTTCCCTGCTCCTCCTGTTCCTTTCCCCACCAGCCCGTGCCCATAGACAAGTAGTCTCACCTTACTATAGACCTTCAGTTATGTCAGCAGATTTACCACAAAGCTAACGAAGCTGATGCTTCAGGGCTCCCCACTCACACAAGTCCTTTTCACGCTCCCCTTAAGACTCTCTGAAGGTCCCTAGCAACCCTCACATGCCTGATGATTTGGTAAGACTTAACCACTGTCTCTTCCTTTTGCATCTTTTCCCTTTATCGCATTCTCCTCCTTTCTGGTGGCATTACAGTGGCCATGGGCATTTTGCCTTTGAATTATGCAAACTTTTTTTTTTTTTAGCAATCTCTCAACCCCCCAGTTTTAGAAGCCTCAGACAATCCAGACCTTCCCTGTTTGCTGCTCTTTCTCAGTTTCAGTTTCTTCATCCTTGAACTGGGGTTAGCAGAGGGTGCTTGCTGCACATCCTGTGACTCAGTGCCTTTTAGTTTCTCCCGGCCTGCCCCTTCCTGCTGTTCATTTTCTCCACCTGCAGCACTGAGGGGGAGGCCGTCCCAGTCATGGTGCGAGACAGAGGGGGCCAGTTTAGCCTGCCATTTGGCACACAGGCCACCCCCTGGCTAACTGGCCCTGACTAACCAGCCCAGCCATAAAGTCACCTCCCCCATATTGCCACAAAACATGCCCTGGGCCACTGTCCCCAAAGGATTGGGATACTACGAAGAGATGTTCCCTCAAATTATTTGCCTGCTGGCTGGGATTGGCCTTTTGTGATTTTTGTTTTCGCTTAGCACCTTGAGGCTTGCTGAGCTCCTGTGTGTGAGGTTTATAAAGGGTGCTAATTGATCACTCCACAGACACAGGTAATGACAACAGCTTCCACCAGGCTGTTGAACCCTGATGCAAACAAAAGATCACCGACTCCAATTTTAAATCAAATTAAAGGAAGCTTGTATTGTGTACACAAAACAGAGAGCTGATCAGCAGCTGTCTCTCCCAATCCGGGCTAGAGATCAGCACCCCAGCTCCCCAGGAACAAAGTTTTATAGCACAAAAAGTTGCAAAGGGGGGTATCTTGAGAACTTACAGATAACAGGATTTTGACAAGCATAATACAAAGGCAGATAGCAGGTTAATGATTTACATGGCATGATATTTCAAGGTAGGGAGTAAATTCAGATCCCAACATCAGAATTTATGAGGCACTGCTGAGGTTTCAGAGAGGATTGTCATCTGGTCAGGGAAAGCCAGGCATGGGTGAGTTCAAGGCTCAGGCAGGCATTCCAAACAAGTTTAGAAATTGCAGTAATTTATAGTAAAACAGAAATTAACTTTTCATGACTTTGTGATGAGATGGCTCCCAATCTTAAAATGGAATTAGGCTGGGTTCATCACAGGACAGTGACCTGCTACATTAATTTCGGGGGTGGTGAAATAAATGTGTATGTGTGTGTGTGTGTGTGTGGAGGGGGGTGTCTTTGTGACAAGTGCCATTCCAAACATCTTTTTTATTGGTTGTTCAAATCAATACAAAGCTCTTGACATATCATATTTCATATATTAGATTCAAGTGGGTTATGAACTCCCATTTTTACCCCAAATATTATCTCATAACTTGCTGTTTAGTTTTTGTTATTATCCAATATTTTATTTACTGAAGCACAGAGAGGTTGTGTAATTTACCTAAGATCAACACAGGCACTAAATGGCATAGCTTAGATTCACAGCCAGCAGTGTAGATGCTGCACCTGTTCCCTGAATGATGACATTAGGCTACTTCTCATACTCCTTGCTAGAGAATCATCCATAATTGAGAAAATCTCCTCCTTGGGAACCTGAACAGTATTGGTGGACCAATGTCACTACTGCCTTATTCATATTCTCAAGTTCCCTGACAGCACATCCCCTGCCTTACCTGCAGCAAACACCTGAGGTGCCCCTAAAGCTTGGGTCCTAGTCCTTCTCATCACAGTGACCAGCCCAGCTCTTATGACCTGGGAGACAAGGAAGAAAAATACCCTGGAAACAAATTCTCAGAAAAGGCTCAGATGAGATGTCAGTTTCCCCATGAGCTTTCTGACTCTGCACATTGTAAGTGAGCAAGCAAAGTCAAGAAACCTTATCAAAACCACTCCCAGGTATAATTTTTGCCCTTGCCTTGCTTTGAAATTGCTTGGAAACTTTGTTAACTCCTAAAAAGAGTTTTATCAGTATTGAAACCTTAAAAATAACTTCTCCAAATGATACCTGTTTAGGTTTTATGGTGGGTGAAAAGATGAGAGATGATCTTGGAGGCAACACAAATTTTAAGTGGAATAGGAAAACAGTGGCACCGATTAGAAAATCTAACATTGCCAGTCCTCCACAATGTTATCTCCTTCCTCCCAGGGTGCACTCTGCATACTGGTCTAGTGGGTAGTGACCAATTCCAGGGCAGGCATCCAATGAGAGACAGGAAATGCAAATGGCCCAGATAATCCACAGCAAAAATGCAGGGCTGAATAATTCATTTGATGACAAAGATTAAACACTATAGTGAAACTATTTTGTCCCCAATTGCATATTCTCCCGTGTCATAGAAATTGACACTTTATTTGCCAACGCTGCTCTTGAAGTTAAAATTAGATGAGAGTGTAAGACTGAAACGAGTAGGACGGGGCAGCCATGGCCTTGTAGAATCGGGTTATGATTTGTGATTTGTATTTATAAAGCTAAAGGGATTGCTAGGTGCCACTGCTAACCTCTGCTTCTATTCTGGTATCTGCATAACACATTTAACCTGGAACCAGTGTGGTTTTGGGAAATAAGTAGATTGAACATCTTGTGGAAGTATCTTTGCAGTTTAACTTTTCTTTATTTTTAAGATACAGGGTCTCTCTATGTTGCCCAAACTCCTGGGCTCAAGCAATCCTTCCACCTCAATCCCGTAGCTGGGACTACAGGAGCACTCTACACCACTTCTGGCCCAGTTTGGCCTTTGACAGTTACTCTCCTCTTGTCTGGGGGTTCTCTTGGTCTTAGAGCTTCTCATTTCTCTTGAGTTACACCTCTGGTTCAATTAGCATACCTGGAGTGTTAGTTGGAATCTTTTTTATGTTTTATTTATTTTCATAAAGTTGGTTCAAACTTTCATTCACAACCTATGGAATGGTCTACTGATGGCTGCCCCCTGGATTTTTGCAGGTTCTTGTGTGGATGGTTGTGTGAAGATAACATTTCTATGGTTAGGTTGGATTCCCATGTCCTGCTGTTGTAGATGGTGGTCACTAAAACCAGGCCCTGGAAGCAAATTACCTGTTCAGACTTACTGTTCCTACAGAATTGGCCCAGAGCCTAATGGCTGTACTGGAATCACTCCCTTGTATCAAGCCACTCTTTCAGGATCTTTTGAAATATATGTACATTACACAGTAAGGAGTGTCTTACCTCCAAATTAGTTGATCAATTTAATAGACTGTTTTTAGTAGTTTCCAGAGAGGATGAATGAACTGCCAGGCAAGTTAATCCACATTAAGAAGGATTAATACACATTAAAGGAAGATGGTTGCCAAATAGGATGCAGGTAGCACTGTTTGAGAGGAAGAATAAAACTGGCAGAGAAGAGAAAGGCACCAAGGCTGGCAGACTCCTTGAGAAAGAGCCAGAGTTTGAGACTCTGGTTCATTTTTCCTTTGTGAGAGAAAGAATCTTAATACCACTTTCTTAACACATAAGCTGGGATTTGGGCTCCCTCAATATTATTGAGATTTATGGTGTCATAGGTCAACTTTACAACAATTTAAAGATATTAATTGGTTTTATTTTGGAACTCTAGAATCCAACAACACATGATTCCATAAAATAGAGTAGGTTCTCTGAGGAGCTGAGCAAAAGAGGTTTTTGGAGAAGGGCCAAAGCAAGCAGAAACAAAGAGCCGATTGGTCAAAGTTACTTTCCTTGAAAGGTGGGGGCAAGGAGTCAGAACAATAGAAAATAAACAATTGGTTAACATCCGATTATTTTTTGTAATGATTAAATGATGTATGAATTAAGGAGAGGGAACTTCACTGTCATGCTGATTGGCCTATATGAGACATTTGGATGCCTCTCATTCTCCTGATTTCTTGGAAAGTCAGACAACAAGTTAGTTCTGGTTTGGTGGTGTGGAATTTTGGCATGGATGACTTCATTTTAATTTTTTAACAATGAAAATGAAAACACTTGTAGCCCTTCCTTTATGGCCAAGATCTTACCTTTGTAGTTGATCTATCCTACAGAGGTACACCTTTTTACATTTCCAAGCWATAAGACCAGATTCTGGGACCTCAAAATTAGTCAAACATTTTCCATATATTCTAAGAGCCCTTGCACATTCTTATGTCCATTCTTACTCTTTCTTTCATTCCCTCTTCCTAGATAGATAGATGTCTCTATTAAAAACTATTCAAATACCCCCCCATTATTTAATAGTAACTTTTATGGTCTTTATTAGGGAAAAAATTAGAGTAAAAATAATTATATATAATTGCAATCACCATATATGTGTAAATCCATGAATATGTTTCGTTCAATATTGTTTCATACATAC